TGTCTGTCTGAATATCAGGTCAACATTATTAAAGAAAGACAACCGATATCACTGACTGACATTTTAAAGAATTCATTATGTTTCATTTTAAAGGTTTGAAAAAATTCTGTCATCATTTTCTCACCCACATGTTGTTTCAAACCCGTGGAACACAAAAGCAGGCATTCTGTTTTTTGTCCATACAAAGTAAGACAATGAGGTTTAATGTAATTTGAAAGATTTCTCATAATATCTTCTTTTATATTTAAAAAAAAAAGTCATACTGGTTTAGAATGAGATGAGGGAGAAAAAATGATGATTTTTTTCGTTTTTGGGTGATAAATAAATAAATAAATACAATAAGACATTGTTTTAATGATGCTCAGGTAAGGAGATCCCAGAGATGCACTGAACTGATTTAAATGGATAGTAAAACAGTATTTGTGAAGATGATCAACAAAACAACAAAGAAAGCCTCTACCTATGGAAACTGAAGTGTAAATTGACTAAATAAATTAATATATACAATGATCTATAATAAATATAATAAACATACACTTATGTTAGTTAATGCAATAGCTTTCATAAACAGACCATTACCAATAATTTTGCATTTATTTATCTAGGTTAATGTTTTTATGTTTATCTAGGTAAAAAAAAATAATTTACTAATAATTTAGCACTTGAGTTGTATAAATCAACATTAGTTAATGTAATGTGACTAACAAAGGCAGCAAAAATTCTCATGGTACAATGGATTAATGATAAAAAATTTAAAGGGGTCATATGATGCAATTTCAATTTTTCCTTTCTCTTTGGAGTGTTACAAGCTGTTAGTGCATAGATAAGATCCCTAAAGTTGCAAAGACTAAAGTCTCAAATCCAAAGAGATATTCTTTATAAAAGTTAAGACTTGTCCACGCCCTCTTAAAACGCCTCGTTTAAACATGCCCCCACATGTCTACGTCACGATGTGGGAAGATTTGCATAACACTGCACAAATGTTCACGCAAAGAAAGAAGGCGTAACTTTTATTCTCACTGCAGTATTGTTGTTGCCGCCGCCGCCATGTCGTGGAGATGCTGTGTTTCGTTGTGAAAGCGAAACTACTTTGTTTGGCCTTCCAAAAGAGGACACAACTAGAAATCAGTGGTTAAGTTGTATTTACAACACTGTTCCAGAACAGTTCAACCCAAATATTCAGATGTGTGCAGCGCATTTTATGGAGGACTGTTTCCTGATCCTGGGAGAGTAGACTACAATGTCGGCTGTTCTGACTCACAGTCTGTAATTACCTTTTCATATTTAAAGAATTTGCCACTGATGATTCAAACGCGAGTTTTGAGCAGTGTAGAGTAGCGCTTGTTGTTTGTCATTTCTCTGATCACAAATGCAGACATGGATTTATGTTTACGCGGCGCGATGCAACACAACTCGTAAAAAGACAGTATAAGTCATTATAATCAGTAATTATGTCCCCACTGGATGTAACAAATGCCTCGTTTATAATGGGTTTTAATGTTTTTG